ACCACGACCAATCACAAGTAGCACATGTGGTCGAGCAGAGATAAAGCATTCACTTAAATCATCACGAATTTTCGGTGGTTCACATGCTGTACGCAATTCGTGGCCATGGGTGAGTAAATGTTAATAATTTCTCAAAAACAACACAAATTTCTTTCATTTTTGTCTTTTAATTTCAGCAAGTTCTATATGAAGAAAGAAAACCTTGTGGAAACAATCGGATATGTCTCGGTTTATGTGGTGGTACTTTAATTGATTCACGTCATGTGCTCACAGCAGCTCATTGTATTGGAACAAATAATCCAGCTGCGATTACAATCACGGCTGGTCTTCATAATAAACATAATGATGAGTCTGATACAAGACAAGTAAGACTTGTTGAACGCATCTTCAAGCATCCTAATTATAATGAACAAACAATAGAAAATGATTTAACTATTCTTCGATTGGTTCAACCTGTTGAATTTAACAAATATGTTCAACCAGCATGTTTACCTGGACCTGAACCTCAAGCGGATGGTGATGTTGTTCTTATTGGATGGGGAGCTTTACAACTCGGTGAAGCTGCATATCATGAATTGAAACAAACTAAAGTTAAAGTTGTTGGTGATTGTAACAAATATTGGGGTCAAGTAGATGAAGCAAAACAAGTTTGTGTTGGACATATTGGTACTGGCGATTCAGCTTGTCAAGGTGATAGTGGTGGTCCAATGTTATACGAACATAATGGACAATGGATTGTATCAGGTGTAGCTAGTTTTGTATCTGCAACTGGATGTACAACATATGCAAATTCTAGACCTAATGTATATGCTCGAGTGTCAGCTTATTTGCCTTGGATTATGAGCATTATTTAAACGATTATAATATTTTTTGAAAAGTATCGTTTATGAAAATAATTATATCATGCTGTTCATATTGCCAATATCACAAGAAAATTTAAAAAGATGAAATTTAATCATCTTTGAGCAAATTAAAACACATTAAGAAGTTAGTAGTAGAACATATCAACATTGTAGAAAAGCTGTCTGTCAAATAGATTGATGCATATCAAAAAGTGCATAGCAAACTGATCTCAGTTAAGTCAATTTACATCAGTTGATTATACAGAAATAATTGCAATTGAAAAATACTCTCCAAACATTCTATATGAAAGATGAGAAGTTCGAGATTTTTAATAGCATATATAGAAACTATGGGCAATAGTTCAAACCATGATCGAACTCTAACATCACAAAATAGTTTACGAAGTACTTACTTAAGGCATATCAAAAGTAATGATTTCGATCCATAAAATGACTCAGAAAAGAATCAATCAAGTTTTTGTTTCGACAAGTATTTGAACTAATAGCTATGCTTAATCACGCACTATCAATGTGATCGAAAATATTTGCTGAAGCTATTTTTCAACTGATTGTTGATTAAAAAAAATTCATCCTCTTGGTTACGGCACTTCATGTAATGACTTATAGTCGCTTGACTAATGAAGTTTATCATTGAAATCGAGCACCTAAAAAATACGCAGTACTTTACCTTTAGAATAAGGTAAATATTAAATAACTACAGTACGTTCTAATGTTGGATAGTGAAAATATCTTTATGAACATATACTTAGACGTTATTATAAGGATTTCCAATGTTTTGAGCGCTAGCCGACGACCTTTGCTTCTCATTTCATTAATAGATAGTTTTAGAAAATTATTTATATAGTATTAGTGATTAGATACCCTCCTTCTTTCTATATCTACCAGATTTTATAAACAGTAATTGACTAATTATGTATAGAGAAGACATGAAATATTGTTTTGAGACGATATAAATGCATCAAACTGTAGTTGATGGAGGTTGTTCGATTGCAGTTCTTCTTATGCAAAAATCTAAAACAATTTATGTGCGATATATTTAGACTTTGTCACCTACTATCACCTCATGCATTCGTTGTATTTCTTTAGACAATTATGTCCAACAAAATTTCATTTATCGAAATATTTATTACTCGCTGTATTGAGTATTTGCGACAGAGATGAATTTTTTCATGAAAGATTGTTTAAAAAATATTTTCAACCGATCTCTTCCAACAAATTAATTATTTGGAATTAAGCATGATCCCTAATTCAAATATTTACTGAAACAAACATTTGATTAACTCATTCTTGTGAATTTTTATCTACCAAAACAACTACTACTTTTGTTATGTCTTACTTTGAATAATAATAGAGAAAATTTTCTAACATTCAAAAATTAGACAACTATTCGATAAGTCAAAACTTCCAGCGGAACCGAATCGGCTTCATCTCTACTTTATATATCCGTTGTCATATCATGAAATCAAAAAAAGAACATTCCTTAATGCGAAAAACAATTCTCAATAGTTATATTTTTATTTCTTTACATTATTTACAATTTGATAAACAACAAAAAAAAATCATATATATATATATATATGTTGAATTAATGTCTGATTATTTGTTTCAAGACATTTTTCGATTTTAGTCTGCTCATTAGTTATGACGGTAAATTGAATTTGCTTGTTCGTCGTGCTGGAAGACGAAATGATGGTGTACGATTTTCTTTACCTAGTGATGAAGTCTAAAAATTAAAAATAAATTTTAATTGTAATTACAATACGAAGAAAATATTACTTTAGTCTTGTTAACAATAACTGATTCTGTTGATGGTGATATAGGTGTAGGTTCTTCATGATTTATAAATTTTTCAAATCGTAATCGCCATGGACTTTTATCTTTGCTATTTCTATTCGCAGGGGTTATTTGATTATTCTTAAAAAAAGAACTATGTATATATTCATATAAAATTTTAAAGACAAAAAAAAAACGAACAGTCATTGAAGATGTAATATTTGTTTGTTTATTTTTCATTGGTGTATCATGTTTTTCTAAACCTTTAAATGTATTTGGTATTGTTGATGTAAATGATGGAAGAGCACATTTTATGCCGGAATATTTTTCTACATTATGTAAAGATCGAATAGAAGTACGACGTGGTATACTACTTGATACACTTGTACTACATTCACTTGATCTAAAGAAGAAAATTATTTGTATTAAATTAAGTTTTTTTTTTTCTACTTACCGATCTGATATTGAATCATGTAATTTTGATTGATGATCATCTTTTTTTTCTGAAATATTACAATGTGAATTAAATGGTTTCATGATTGAATTTGAGAATTTTCGTCGATCTAATTCAATTTTAGTTAAATGTAATGATGATGTGCGACGAACAGTTGTTGCTATTTGTGGTTGTTTAATAGGTGTTAATAATTCTTCAGATCTTTTGACAATGGTTGATAAATTACTACATAAACACATTGCATATTTCGAAATAAAAACATCTATTCAACTAAATGCTTACTTAACAATATCTTCAAGATCATTTTGATTTCTAATTGAAGATAATTGAATATCATTTCGATTTTCTGGTAGTTTTACTTCTTTTTTTGATGTTGGTGGAAGAAGAGATATACTATTTATGAAGAAGAAATAATTCAATATTGAGTTTATTAAAAAGATGAACGTACCGTTTTGATTGCAGACGAGACGGTAGTTTTGGTAAAGCAGGCAATGGAGGTATAACCGTCGAAGTGCTACTGCTTTTGGATGGTACTGGTCGTGCGAAACTCATGATATCGAATAAAAATATTACCGATTTGTTTTTTCGCTTTAAACCATCATCTGAACAATATAGTGCGTCTTTGTTCGCGGGCACGTAGACAACTGTAAAACTGGTCTCATTTTTTATATCTTGAAAGAATAGAGCAATACAATTAACTATTTTTTTTTTAAGTTTCAAAATATAAAGTTTTTTTTTTCTTTTTATAAAAGTTCTTTTAATTATAGAGGGCGCTGCCAGTAGATGAATCATTATTTTGAATATGACAAAAATATTAAAATTGAACAGAAAGGGAATAAACAATATCTAAACATTGTCTTCGATTTTTTCTATAGTTAAATATCCTCTATTGACCTATCTAGAAAATGGCTAGTGTACCAGCATAGGAAAAATTAGCATCTGAGACTTATTCCATAAACAATTGAAGTCAAAGATTTTCTACATTGGAATAAACTATAGACAAAGATTTGAAAACAAAAAGAAATCATACGAATTTATTAGTAAAATAATATACCATACGTCGAGTCGTTTTGCAAAGTAATTCGTAGAAGTGAATCTAATTATATCAGAAAGATCAATTAGTCTTTAAATAGAACTAATAGATAGTGTGGTCTAGTTAAATTTTAATCTATATCATTGGGGAACATCATGGAATTAATAGCTGTAAGATGGCTAACAATTTTATATGTGTTTTATTAGATTGACAATGAAAAAGAGTTTTCGTTTCCTCAATCTTATCAAACATATGAATAACTTGTGAGACGATGTTCACCTAATGAGCGTCAGTAGTTCATAGGGAATTTTCGAATGGCTCCTTTTTTCAAGCACGCGTTCTTGAGTTAGCGAAATTTTACTGAGTTAACAGAGCTCTTAATGAGATTAGTTGACTGTACAACTTTTAGCTTTTCTTTTGTTTTCTCTTTGAAGATGTACATATATGAACAAAATTTGCTGTTATACATGATAGAATGTCGAATACTGAATATCTTAGGATAGAAGATACGAGAAAAGTTACAGATTATCCAATGAACTAATGTCATTGAAAACCTAGTCAGTGCAAAGTTTGAAATTAAAAATGGATTTTTCACTGACGGAAGAGGACCACAGCTGTTTGTTAAAATAGATCAGTGAGTTTTTGATAATTCTACAGTGAAGATCCGAAAAACGGAATCATTTTACACTATCCTATAAATCACTAGCACTCATCCGATGAACACAATCTCGGTCGAAAAGCGATAGGATAACTGAAGAGCTTTCTTAGTCAGTTATGAAACATGAAGATTTAAGTTGATCTAAGAAGACATGTTAATTAAATGAGAATCTTCTTAGTTATCACAATATTTTTATTGAAAAGCAAGAGGCATTATGTTTTACATCATTCGACAACACAGTTTTGGACTCCATTGTTTCGTTGTTGTAGGTTTTTGAATGTGTTCTTCAATTAGAGTTTGCAATCTAGATATATCTATTAATGAAATATCTTTTCCTCTTTTTTTCATTGAATGTTCTTGAAATAAATTAAGATTTTCTTGTGGTGAATTCTTTGCTATATCTTTACTCAAACGAATTAAATATGAACCATTTAAACCTGATAAACAATCTGTCATTTGTGAAAGATTATTTTGAATTAACCACTGTTGAACATCATTTGGTGTCCATTGACACATATCTGTTGAATCCAATGTTGATAAAGATACGTTAGTAACATTTTGTAGCGGTTGACGTACAACAAGAGTACTAAGAACACTAATAGGTGGAATTTTTAATTTATCTAATAAGATTTGCATTCCATGAGAAAATTCATATTTTGTAAAATCTATTAGAGATAAACCACGAATAAGATAGGAAAGCCAACCATCTGGTTTATAAGAATTATCAATTAATATTGGAATTATTTTTAATTGTCTTCCAAAAGCATATTGTGCTTCAGCTCGACAATAATTACTTTGTTTATAGTGTTTACTTATACAAACAATTATAGTAAAAGATTGTTTAACAGCTTGAACCATTGCATCCATTATATTATGATGTTTATCATTCAAGTCTATCAACACTTTAAAATCTTTTTGAATAAGTTCATGATATAATTGTGTACATATTGATTTATCTTCATGGGAATAACTTATCATTACATCATATTTGGCTTTATTAGTATCAGTATTTATTTGCATATTATTGGAATTTAAATTCCATTGTATTCCATAAATAATATTTTGTATTTGTTCATTAGTATAGTTACTTTCTAATTTATTTTTCAATGTTTGATTTAAACGAAGTTCAGCTTGAATACGAATATCAAACGATAAAGACCATAGAATATCATAAATTATTGGATATTCATCAGATTTTTCAATTAAAAATTGTAGTTCATTTGAATCAGCGATAGGATTTTTCATAGTATCATATTGAGATAAAGTTAAAAGACCTTTAAATGAAAAACAAATAGAAAAAAAAAAACGAAGAAATGAAACTCATTTAGAATTTACCTTCTAGTAATTCTTCAATGGGTATTGTGTTATATTTTTTCAATGGACTTTTCCATGCTTGATCAAGATAATAAAAGAAAATTTTATTTATCTTATTAACTATATTTGATTTTTTAATTTGTTTTTCAGAAAGAATTTTTGATTGGAGCCTATAGATTCGTAAATAAAATCGATCATTGTTTATAACATCATATTTCAAAAGTATATCAACTAAATTCTTTTGAGAACGAAAAAAATTTATTATATTTTGGAAATTTATGAAATAGTTAAATAATTCGAAAATATTATTCACAAGTATTGATTCATCATTTAATAATTGAGGACGATTTCGTTCATGACATGTTTGATGATGAAGGATATCAATTAATGATTCAATATAGTCATATATAGTTTTATCAGAAATCATAAACATTTTAAGAATCTCTTCTTTAGTACCAATCCATAAATGACAAGCAGTAATAAGACCAATCAAATGTGTAATACATGAAAGTAAATCTTTACTCCATGATAATATTGTTTTACTATGAATGAGTATAATATTTGTATAATCCTCAGCAAGATATTCTAGAATTTCTTGTCCATTATGAGGAAAGTCATGCGGTTTCGAACATAAATATTCCCCTAATAAAAATGAACATGTTTTAATATAAAAAACTTGTTTCATTGTAAATAACGGACATGGATCTTGTAATTCATTCAGATAAATTTTAAACTGATCAGTCATAATAATATCAGATGTAATACGTTCATTAATATAAATTATTATAGATGCTGAAGCAAATTCTATATGTTCACGCATTAACAACGAAAGATTATCAAACCATAAATAAATTATTGATAAAAAACGTTCATTTTCATCGTTTCGTTTTTTGAATTGTTCAAATACTCCATCAATAATATCAGTATTAGCCGGAAGAAGAAGAGATCCTTTTGTATGTACATCATTATTACTTAAAATTATTTTTTTATTAAAATTTGAAATATTATGAAATAAATCAAAACATTCTTGTTCATCATTATTCCATTGTCGAGAATCTCTACTTAAAACTTCCCATGCCCAAGTTTCCAGAGTAAATAATGGATGAAATAATGTAGCAATCAATGTATCAAAATCACTATCTTGTGCTTCAATAAGACAATATGACATTTCACGAAGTATGTTATTAGAAGGAGCAGTAATAAGTCTAGAGATAAGTTGTTCAATATTGAGATCTTCCATTTATTCAATAAGTTATAAATAATCGTATTAGAAATATTACATTTATAGAACAAAATTTATTTTTTTTTTCCTATGTGAAAAGAATGAAACCAAGTAACGTTGTTCTATTCGTTTATACTTTTTGGTGAAAATATCCAATTTTACATGTTTGTTTTTTTTGACTAATCATACGAAAATTATGGATACAATTTTCTTCATAAAATGTATAATTTGTTTGCCTCATATTGAAATAAGTATATATATTATCATAAATCTATCCATTATTTGAATAAATAAAATTTACATTAGAAATTAGTTATACTATGTGTTTCATTTAGCAGAAAAAAAAAAGAAATTTTAATCTAAAATAACAGTGCTCCTTTTTCTGTCTTAAACTGATGAAATTTTGTAAGCTAATAATCGCATTTATTTGTTCGATAGTTGTATGGCAAGAGACTTTAATAACATTGAAAAATGATACTTCATATAGATGTTTATTTGAAAAAAGTCATTTATTATGTCTATAATTAACATTTTTATCGAATAGGAAGAACTTTTCAAGTTATTTGCAATAAATTTATTATTCATTTTCTTATTTAGAAACAAAGATTAAGAGCATCATCGATAGTACTTAAGTTTAAATATATTCACATTTTTTCAATCGGAATGAATTGTATATAAAAGTATCTTGAAATATGAAACAAATGCCACTCTAGAAGTAATATATTATTAGTCCAACATTGACTGACCAACTTTCACTTGTTTTTTTTTAATGAAGACTTCGAAAAATATTTTTATTCTAGTTGAGCAACTAAAAGAAAATCAACAACATATATGTTGTTATTTAGAAAAATAGCACTGTTGATAATTCTTTATTTTCTATTTTAATTTGCAAGAAAAAAACACCGATGTAGACATCTTTTTTTTTTCTTTTATAAGTGTCTATGTCATTGCTCTTTTCAACAAAAGAAATGCTACGCATGGAAGATGAACCAACTTTTACCTATGCACTTTTATTGAAATCCTTCAAAAATCCTTTCATGAGAGTGATAGTCACGTATACGAGTAAGAATTAATTGTTCATTGGTTTCTAGAAAAATAAACAAACAAATGTATTGTCTCAACCACCAATTCGTAAAATCAATGACTTTTCAACTGAAGACAAAAATAATAATACAGAAATAATCATTAAAGATGCAAAAAATAATTCAAAGTGTTGTTTGAATCTATTATGACTACATTTTTTAAGTTTTCTCAATGTAATACTTTTAAATGCTTGAGAATTTTCAAGTTATCAACGTGCATCATATATACTCTAAACAAATGAAATATATTCTTCATATAAAACTTTGATAGACTACATATATATATATGTGATATTAAATTCTCATAAATTGATAATGTTTCACTTTCTATCCATACAATCAAGTCATTTTTACTGAACAGCCATACTTGAATAATCAATTAATGACTAGGTTTTATTTCTTTTTTTTTTGCAGTACTAATTGGTATTGTGTTGATCTTTACGCTTGTAAAGTCGAGAATTCAATAGTGGATAGATTTATTGCTAATTCATCAATAGTGTATTTCAGTTAAATATTGAATTTAATCGTAACAATATTGAATTAGTTACATATCAAATATCGTCTTTTTCTTTTGCCCTTCTTCGTTAGAATTTATCTCTTGACTTTTAGTCGTCAAACCTGCAATGAGCAAAAAAATTTTAATTATAAAACTACATTTTCTTTTTCTTTAGCAGCATGCATACACCGTATTTTCTTCGCTGCTTTTGACAATTTCATCAACGACATGCGAAGGTGTTTTTTCTTTAAAAGAAGATGAAGTTTTTCTTTTTCATCATCATCAGACTATCTGAACATTCAATTATACATCAATAATTAGCAGGCATTTTCCAAGCCTAGATTTTTGTTATTAAATTGATTGCATATAGTAACTTATAAATAGAAAGCAAGGTTATTTTGATAATGAGGCAAGAAAGAAGAATTTGATATGTTTATTTTCTATTTTTCTTTTTCATTTTTTTTTCTCCATACTGTCATTTATTATTTCCTTGATAAAGGTAGTATGAAACTTGAAAAAAGAGATATAGCTTGAGACCAACTAGAAATATTCAATATTTTCGTATGGTTGTTGATAAGACCAATTCGATTAAAACATCATTCTCTTTCTGTCAATACCGTATTGCATCTGTCGACAATGTTCATACATGTTACTCTGATGCGAACGCAAGCTTCCAATTCAATTACAGTTACAACATATATTCATAGCATCATCATCGTCCTCTCCGAGAGCAAAACTATCAAGACATCTCCAGACCATTTTTCATCCGTCCGCTTCAAAACATGTTTCTCAATGCGTGAGAGAAAAAAGAAAAAATTGGAGAGAAAAAAAACCTAGACAAAGCGTCTTTCATTTATCTCCTGCTTACTTGTTCGTTACTAGTCAGAACAACAATACTTGGTGCTTTTTAAAATCTATTAACAGATTTGCGGATGTAATAGCAGAAGTTGTAGTGCTTGTTGTAGAATAGAAAAGACCAAAAAAAAACACAGGAGGTTATAACGAAAGAGAAACAATGTTAATTATGTTGATGATTATAATGATGATGGAAAATGAGAGGAGACAGAGACTAATAGAGATAATGCTGTCTCTCTCTCCTTTTCTGGCTACCCAGCGAAAGAAAATGAAAATCTCAGAACTTATACTCGTCTAGTTAGTTCAGCAAAGGGAGAATACGCCGTTCTTATCACTTTTTTTTTCCTTTTTTTATGTGACACCCAGTTTATTATGGTAAGAAACGAGCGGAAAGAGATGGAACGAACTAGAGAGACAGAGAAAGAGAAGGGACGAAAGAGAAAATGTGAACTGTGCAAAACAGGCAAGCAGACTCATGCGAACAAATGTCTTATTAAATAGAGTGAGCTAGCACTAGAAGCGCAAAGACAGTCATGGAAAAGGAGACGAGAAAAGAAGAACTGCTATAAAAAAAAAAAGAAGACTAAGAAAGGAGAAAAAAGAATGTGGAGCTATAGCAAAAAAGTCCTCTATGTTTCATTAGATTTTATTCACACGCACACCTATTGTAAGTATCATATAAAAGTTGACTAGAATCGCAGCATTGGTATGGTTAACAACAATAAGCTTAGTTATTTTGTTATAGAAAAGAGAAAAAAATAAGGAAAAAAAATCGGAGAACATGTCAAGTAGACTCAAATAAATGAGATCCTGTCAGTTGTTCGAACATGATCGAACTATCCAAAAAAATGCATTTTGTGAGAATTTCTTTTCTTTTCCTCTGAATCCGATAATTAAGTACTCCTTTTTTTTCTATTTACTCTTTTCCTTTAATATCTATTTATTGTACTCTTTCACTGTTTATCGCAATTAGTAAACATCTTTTGTTTTTGTTTGAACAAGGAAAGAATCGATAAATATTAGATAGACTCAACTTTAATAACGTATCATTATTGTTATTATTATTATTAATCGACTAATTTTTCTTTGTTTTTGATTAACTACGGTTTTTTTTGAAACATTATTGTTTCCTTCAGAGACTTTTCCCATTGAGAGAACAAAGATAGTGAATAAATATTCAACATAATGACAAATTACAGAAATCATTTACACAGCTGATTTTCAATCTCATTGGTCATCTATCATTTTTTTTCTAATCTTAATTTTTTTCCTCTTTTTCCTATTTTGATAAATAATGAAGTAATTTTTTTTTCTAATAGACGTCTATGATAAGTTCAGTCTTGCATGAGACTCTGTATATAAATGTATCTTAATGAAAATTGCTTTTAAATGTTGTTATGAGACATATGCAAAACTATGGCTGTGTCAAATAGATAGATAGGCAGACAAAAAAAAAGAATTATCAAGTAATATTCTAATTTTTCAAAGTAGTTTATTCTGTAAATACGCCTAGAGAGTGTCTTGACTGTTTGTGATTTTTTATTTGTGTTGTTGCTTAATAACAATCATCATTATAATGATGCAGTGGAATGATTATGATGTTTGTATGTGTGTGCGTATGGACGGGAATTTAAGTTTTTGTACTTTATTGCTGCGCGCACTACTTATGATTTGAAGAGACCATAATCCGTCTCTCTCTCTTCTTTCGTTAACATACCGAGTTTTTTTCTCACACACTCTCTCTCTTTTTGATGTGGTGCACCACTACTACTATAGGAGGATGACAACAAACAACGACAATAGGAATAACAGCAAGAGCGATTCGCCGCCATCACTGTCGCTGGTTTCGTCGTTTAATCATCATCGCTTTGTCTCGTCCGGGCCCGACGCTTCTCCGATCGTCGACGTTAGTGCTGTCGTCTACTCGTCGTTTTCATTGTTCTCGACGCTATAGTCGTACCATTACTACTATTGCTGCCACTAGTCCTTCTGATATTCACGATCCCTATTTGTCTCTACTTTACTTTTCCTGAAAAAAGAACTCGTACCAAATTTCTCGTTCTAAGTCAACGTGGATTCTTTATACAATTACCGATGAATGTCAATTGGACAATATTTTTTTTCTTGTTTATCGTTATTTTTATTCAACGACAACCGTGAACTTGTAAACAGACAGACAAAAACATAGAAAAAAAACAGTAAAATACAAATATTATGGGTTGCAGTCAGGCTAAAATCGAGCCAGAAGCACTGACGCCTGACGATGCAAGAATCATCAGAGAAACATGGAAAATGGTAGGCAGAGAAGCCTATGGTGAATATGGCCAACGGCTCATGCTCAGGTAGGACATTTAGAGAAAATATCTTCAGAGATAAACTAGAACAATTTATCACAATTGAAATAATAATTTACAGAACTACCATCTATGTTTTAATCTATAAATCACTTGGTCTAGTTTCATGCCTGAGAGCAAAGAATAGAAAACGGATGGATCAATGATCATTTCCTATGTGTTGTCACCATTAGAAATTGTGACATCAATGCATTCATATTTGCTTTCTACTTTTTTCTTTCGTTCTTTTCC